CCTCAGAGAAGCATGATAGACAGCATCAATTTTTTTAAGACATTGTGCTGAGGCATTCATATATAACAAGTCTCCATAATCTAAAATGGATAAAAATGTAGCGGTGACAAGCCGCCTTTTAACTGTAAAAGAAAAATTTATTTTATTTCGAAAAAAAGAAGCCCAGCTTAAGTTTAAGTTTCTTCACAAGATTTTGAATGTGAGGCTTAAAACTAAGGGAGTCAATTTATGCTTTTTAAAGAATTTGTTAATGGAAACAAAACCCTGAAGGGTCACAAGTTCCTGTTCCTGTGGAGCTCAAATTGAAACATGGTCACTTCAAACTAGAGATCGACCGATACAGGTTTTTGAAGGCCGATACCGATTTTTTTAAACATCAGTCTAACCGATAAGCCGATACGTGCAACCGATATTTTTTGGCCGATTCTTGAAGCCGATACTACTTTTTCTTCCTCCATTAACATGATAAAAATAAGAATGTTAACAAATGTTACACAGATCTCAATTTAAAACGAACAAAAAAGCATTTATTAACTAAGCCTTGTCTGATGAGACTGTATAAAGCGCTACCACACATGATTTCTTCTTTAAAAAATTAAAAATAAATAAATTCATTATTTATTTTATCTAGTGCTAAATATTCTGTTCTTATTTGTATATTAATAAGAATATTATATTTTTACATAGAATTACTATTTTTTAATATCCCACCATTTTTTATGCAAAAACAGCAACAAGCCTAAATGAAACTGTCAGAGCAACACAGAGAAAAAGAAAAGACACACATGCATCTTGCTATCTTTGTGAGGACTTCACACACACAGCGCTCACAGCATCTCTGCCTCAGTCTGCTGCTCCTGTTTTTAACACCAGGCAAAAAATGCATTTAAAACAGCTGACGTTAACTTTAGATCACAGTTTGAAACGTACACCGAAGAGAACCAGCATCACCACTGCGGTCACAGTAAAACGTGATGTGAGCAGCGTCTGGTTCACATGATGGTGGACGGCTGCGCTCGCTAAAACGTTCAGCGAGAAAAGACCAAAAGCTTTTTTTATTTTAATCCAGCAGGGAGAACAATAGAGGTGTTTTTCTATGCCTCATGTGAGCAGCTCCAGCATTTTTAAAAAGAAAAACAACGCAGGCACGCTGATTACAGTGCGGTGCGAAAGTGAAAGTAAAACATGTCGCAGCGCTCCCGTCTGGAAAAGAAACTTAAACACYGCTGTTCTCTCTTCCCTCATATTCTGACACAGAGGGTAGAAACAGCTAAATTAGACAGTTAAAACACATTTATAGTTCATAACTCACCCTTGTCGTTGTTAGCGCTCTGTCTCACGACATTAGCTGCTGCGCTCTCCCCGGGGGAAGGGGCGGACACATGCGCTCGCYTGACCCAAAGAACGGATCGGCCGAACGGACAGCGTATCGGCCGATACAAGGAAGAAACGCAAATATCAGCCAAAAATATTGGCCGGCCGATGTATCGGTCGACRCCTACGTCAAACATTCTCCAACCATTACTACATGTCTAACACATGCTGTGAAAGTACATTTTATATAATCATACACAGTATATAGAATAGTTAATGAATTATTAAGCGTGAATAAACAATGAGGATGTTGGGTTTGGAAAAAATGTCTTTATGGACAAATAATTAAGTTTAATTTATAGCTTAAGTATGAATCATCCTTAATTAAGGATGTTTTCAAGGTTAACTAACAGTTTATTAAGACTAAATATATAATAAAGTGTTATGTTGTTGTTACATTATTCCCTCAAAACAAGAAATAAAAAAGCTTTATCTGACAAACTGGAATTTCTCTCTGTACTGACTATTTTTTTTTATTTTTTTATTTTTTTTGAGAATTGGGCAGATATGAGATTATTTTTTCTTCTGCTGCATTTCATTTATGATTTATTTATTTTTTGTATACAGAATTGTATAATTTTTTAAGAAATTAAACTATTACTACTACTTTAGTCCAACTTCACAACTTTGAGTTCTGCTACAACTGGAACACAACTAAACACTCATCAGCTGTGATTGACATTTTGAATTAGGTTCACATCAAAAAATGAGTTATTGTGAAGATGTGACTCTTTGTGTTGCGCTCAAATTATGTGTTTGGGACATTCCTCAACTACTACCACACCAGCTGTAAAACTGGCCAACCCACAGCTATTTTTGTTGATCAGTCGGCGGGGGCTGGAAACGAATCAAATTAACTCCAAACGCTAACCAGTTGTAGATGTCTTCTGTAAGTTTAATTAAAATTCATTCAGTCATTTATGGTGCAGACCGACACAAAAACATGACCACATTCTGCTGCGAGCGYTAATCCCCTGCAGTTTGTAACGAGTCTGTTCTGACTGCTTGTGCCACAGTGTCAGATGCTGGGGGGGAATGAAGAGCGGTGTTTTGCTTTTTCAGTGTTTGATAACTTACTGTTGTGTCCCTGGTCTTTGTCCGACACTTGCTTGATAAATTATAAAATGTTGTTCCACTCATGTTTCACCATCTTTAAAAAATATATTTAAACAGTATTTTCTTTTTGCTGACTGATAATCTTTCCTCACAGGAGGCTCAGAATCTGCCATATCAGATGTAAGTTGTCACATTATTGAATCGGCGTATGGATTTCTGCTCATGCCCAACTTGTCTGCGGGAGTTTGTGTGAGCTTGTTTGTGTGCTGCCAGATCCAGGTGCCCGCCCTGAGCCCCTCCGCCTGCAGCTGGTCGTGGGACCGAGAGGAGGATCGCAGGCGTCAGGAGAAGTGGCAGGAAGAACAGGAGCGCCTCCTACAGGCGAGTTCTTCAAAAACACTGGATTACACGAGGGTCAGCTTGTTTGTGATCCACACACACACACACACACAACTTGTTGTGGTTCTCCTTTTTTTTTAGGAGCAGTACCAGAGGGATCAGGAGAGGTTGGAGGCGGAGTGGAGACAGGCCCAGCAGGATGCAGCAGAAGGCAGGAAGTTGCAGGTAATTTACAGCTATTTTTATCCACAATTACTCATATTTTCTAAATCAGATGTGCGTAAAGGAACATATTATTCTGGATTAAACAACTTTTTTCTGTATTTAAAGGAGAACACGCAAGAGGTGACCAGTGGCCCTGAAAGCCTCAGCTCTGGGATTTACATGAACGGACTGATGAAGAAAACCCCAGCAGACGAGCAGAGACCTGGTGAAGATCTGAAGGAAGTGGTGATAAAACAGAGTGATGCTCACAGACCACTGACTGACAGGATGACTGAAAATGATTGGTAAACTCTTTTCTCCTTTGATGCATGTCAAATGAACACTGCGTGGTCTAAAACTGCTTTTATTTGAAATGATTGCTCATGTGGCTACTTCTGCTTTGGATTGGGTCTTCTTGCTGCTAACGCTGAACGTCAGGGCTGAGGGCTCCTCTGGCTTCACTCGGCTGTCGCCTGCACACAGGTCAGAACCAGCATGGCTTCCTTTTCTCTGATTTCTGTTGCTTTGATTTGAATCCATGCTAACCAGCAGGACCAGCATTGGTAATTTGGATTTCAGGTGGTGCCCGTGTTCAGTTTTTTTTTCACTTCCAGTTTACATCCATTCACATACCAAATAAAATAGTTTTGTTTTTAATATATACTGTATATTTTTGTCTTTAGAAACCAGGTTGTCCAATTAAAATGGTAAAAATATATAATTCATTTCAAATATCCAAAATCTATACTTCATACTATTCTCATACTTGCCTAGCAAAGAGGAACACCTGTTCATATTAATGAGCAGCTGTGGAGTGAAGCAGTTCTAGGGGGGTCCAGGATCCTTAAATTCTGTTAAAGATCGACTGACTCAAAACTTTGCATTTTCCAGCCATTTGAAAGGCATTACAATAAACACTTGGGATTAATAAAAAATAAAATCAGCATTTTCTTAAGGTAGAACACTGAAAACCAGACTTTAACCTGAACTTTATCTGAGATCATAACTGAAACTTTCATTATCCTTATTTATTTCTATTTATATGGTTTGTCTTGACGGCATCATATGAAACTTTTGATCATGAAATATTCTCAGCACCATATATTACCCCATGTAGTAACGAAACAGTCTTGAGAAACTCACGAAACAATAAACCTGAGTAACCAGTGATCATTCTACTGACTAAATCAATTATACTGATAAAAAGTTATATTTGTTTTGTCTCGCATTTGTGGTGTGCCCCCTAGAAGGAGAGCCCCCTTAGCACTTGCCTATACTGCCCATGCTGCAGGCCGGCCCTGGTAGCAGTTGAGTATAGCATACCCACCTGATTATCAAGAGATTGGTTTTGTTATCAGCTTACTGTTTTATATTAATGAAACATAACAATCAATTCAAAATAGTATAAATACTTTTTTGATTCCCAGAAGTCATTTCTTTTGATTTGTGTCTCCCTAACAGGGCACTGTCCTCATCTACCCCATCATTATCTGGACCCTACAAGCAACCCAAAGGTTAGGTTAGCTTCCTGTCACAATAACTTCCTGAAGATGCACTGGGTTAASTCTAAACTCTTTTAGGTGATCAGAGGAGAAGACTGGGACGGTCCATGTCCAAGGCTGAGCGAGACCGGCAGCAGATTTTGGAGGAGATGAAGAAAAGGACCCAGCTTCTGACCGACAACAGCTGGATACGTCAGCGCAGCAACAGTTTCCACAAGGAGCCAATCGATGTTGGTGCCTCCATAAACAGGTGGGCTCAGTATTCCTACCAAATAGAATAGGTTTTAACTTGGACTGGTTACACATTACCAGTTGTTGTCCTGCAGATATGATTCTCTGGATAACCTGGATACATTGTCCTCAAACTTGGCTGCAACGTTTTCCTACCCTCGCCCTCATTCGGCTGCCGGAGGCTACGTCGTTCCGAGTAGAAACGCTGCTTCTCGCTACAGCACGGGCTCGATTCAAAGAAACGATTCCCCTCACTACGCCAGGTACACAACTCGTGTATTTAGTTATTCTCTGCATTATTTCAAGCATTGTAGCCTCACGTTGTTAACGTGTGCTGCCCCAGGATGGTCAGTGGCATGAGGACTTGCTGTATGTGTGAGCGTGTCCTGGGTAGTGGGGCAGCCATGGTCATAGAGGCCCTAAGTCTCTACTTCCACCTGACCTGTTTCCAGGTGAGAGGGTCTGAGCAGGTGGAGGTGTGGTCACTTTGTGGCATTTGTGGTACTTAATCTGGCTCAATCAGCCGGCATTGTTTTTTTGTGCTTAATTTTGAAAAGTGTCACCTTTTTTAGTAAGGTCAATGGGAAACCCTGCATGTGTCCTGACTGAATCATGCTTTTGTTTGCTTTCATGTCTGTGACCTTTCTAAAGCCAGTACCTCACTTGGCTGCTTAGTACGGCTCAATAAGACTGCTTAGGTTCAAAATAAGGTGGGGGGGATGATAAAAAAATAAAATATTAAATATAAAAAACAAAATAAGGCGGAGTGGCAATTCACAAAAGAATTGAAGCCCAGTTTACGCAGCACTGTTTTTGTGTGAAACCATAGGATTTCTAACGTGGTTCAGCTGTTCATGTACACAACGACACTCGTTTGCTCTGAAATCAAAGCCTTTTGAATCTTGTGGAGGATTTGAAAACCCAACACGAAAGAGTGAAATTGTCCATGCGCACTTGGACGGCTGCGGTCAATAGTGTTTCTGCTCTTGTGTGAGAGAGATTGAAAAATGTTAACCTTTACGGAGTTTGTTCGCATGTAACCAGGACCTGAGAACATCTGTGCTACTCATTCAGACACTTTGGAAACTTTCTCGTGAATGCTGTAGGTCAGGGCTATTCATCTAGTAAAGTCTATTAGTTCATTCATCTATTAAAGGGAATCTTGTAGTATCATGTAAAATCAACTTTTGAGTTTTATATCATGTTATAATGTTATACTCTCATAAAAAACATGCCCAAAGCCTTGCTTTGACTCATTCATGCATGTTTGAGAAATCCTGCAGCGTTTTTAGGAAGCCAGGCTGAGGAGCAAAACGACAGGTGGGGACCAGAAACACCCCTGGGACGTGTCTTTAAGCTGAACTTCCTCATCATGGAGCACACCTCCGCACCCCACACACCCCGCCCATGACTCCTGCAGGCTCTCGGCAGTAACAGAGCAAACTGAAAGTGAAACTTAAACTGTCTGCTGCTCTTAACACTCTCATTATGTGAAGCTCTTTTCAGATTCAAAATACCTTGAGGAAATGTATTTTCAGATGCCAAGTAAACTGCATCATAAAACCTCCCCCCTCCTCCCCCCACCGCACTGAAATGGACAGGACAGAAGCGGAAGGTGTTTCTTAAAGAGACTGAGGCCAATTTTAAGGCGTTTAGAAAAGGAACTGATGAGAAGATAAGCTTATTTTCTATTTAAATACAAAAACAGCATTTTAATAACAGCTAAAGGTGACATAGATACTTTATTAATGTATAGTATTTAAATAAATGCCTGAGAAATGCATAATATTGCCCCTTTAAGCTCCTACTTTAACTACTTTAAGTTCTTTTAGTTAAACGTAGCCGTGTTTTGTATCTACATAAATGTCAGAAACTTGGTTAGAAGCTGGTAAAACATTTCTATGCACACTAAAGACGATTACACTTACTAGCAGTTGAAAATAAAAATATGAAAGTGAAAATGAAATTGGTTTAAAAACGTGTCAAAATATTTGTGTCAAATAGGAGGCATAATGTGTTCTTTTTGTTTTTGATATTGTTTAATTATCACTACTTTTATAAGGTTCTGTATGTTGTGTTCATGATTAAATACAGCAAAATAAACTATTAAGGTAACAGATCTTTGTAAAACTTGGTTTATTTAATAACTTTAATTGCTGGATGTTCGGCCCCTGAGCTGTTGACCTGCAGTAACTGTGGCCCCCGGTGCAGTTTAGTTGAACAGCCCTGCTGTTGGTATTTTGGCGCAGCACAGTTGTGTACAGGCTTGAGCTTCAGCCTGCTGGCGATGCTTACTGATGTGTTTTTGTTGTGTGAATTTTTACCTCTGTGCACCTTATTGGCTCAATGGGAGGACGTGGCCCTCTGTCATGCTTTGCTTTTAGGTGCTAATTGTGAAAGCCTCGCTGATGGTGGGGTAAATCTGCCACAGGTTCATTAGCACGAAGACATAAAAGTCACAACTTTTAGTTCCAGATGAGTTCCTTGGAGGCAAACATGCATGTTTTAATTATTGTAAAATGGTTTAATGTGGGAAATGGGAGCTGCTTCTGAATTCTGCGCTTGGGTGGCGGACGATCTGCTGGAGTGATTCTGACACTAAAAGCCTGTAATAAAGGTCAGCTAGACTTTTTTTTAATTGACTCATTTTCTGACTTCCCCATCCTCTCAGTGTGTGGGCTGCTACAGACATCTTGGAGGAACAGAGATTGGAGTCCAGGTCCATGTCAGGAACAGGAAGCCCTATTGTGAGCACTGCTATTTCCAACTCAAGTGTAAGTATTTGCTCCTGATCATTTATTGATTGATTGATTGATTGATTGATTGAAACTCCATACATACACCATACATTTTATTTTTACCTGCATGACTGATGGTGCACAGATATTCCAAACATTGTCTTTTTGTTAAAGTTTTATTTTGAAAACCAAATCTAATTTTTTCTTTTTGCACCGTTTGTCCCATTTTAGCCACAGGTACCATGTGACCAACACGATGTTCTCCAGATCGAAGAGTGAACAGAACGACCAACAGCCTCTGTTAATGGGAAGTGTGGAAAACTGCACCCCTAAAGCCAAACCATGACTTGTTTCCTTTTTTTGTGGGTTTAGTTAAAATGAAATGTGATATAAAATTAAAACTGTTTGATCACGACAAAGCAAATCTTAACAGGTGAATTTTTTATTGGGTGGACAATATTTAGCTTCAATTTTTCTTAYTTTGATCTAGGTTATGTGGATATATTACGACTTGCAGAAAAGTAGAAACTGTTGATTCATGGTATGTTTTTGAAGTCATTGTTTATCACTTCTGTGTGCTAACTTCAGTCTTTACTCAGCATTGCATTAAATATATCAGGCTTATCTTCAGAAGCTCTTATTGTAATCCAGAGACATTTAAAGATGCACTGAAGCACTTTCTGTTCACTTGGAAAGTCTCAAAGTGCACATTAGGATGAGTCAATGATATATATCTATATAATGCATTATGTTACTAATATAGAAAGTGATTAATTAAAATGTTTTGTTGTTTTCTTATGTAAATAAAGTGCACTAAAGTAAATCCAACCGAACTTTTCGTTTATTCATTTGTGAACCACATGGTGGCATCATTGGCCTCATTGTGAAACAGTCTTGTTTGGAAGCTGAATTTTTTTTTTTTTTTTTTGAATGAAAGCAAATTATTTCCTGTAACTGTTTGACTAATGGTTAATCTTTTAGATGTTTGTTTTAAAAAAGTGTCTTATTTTAATGATTTTTTCCCTTGCATGTACTAATGACTTCATCTGAGTGCTGTGAACTCAACATTTTCCACCAAAAAGAGTGAAAAACCAGCCAAAAACAAACCAAAAAAGTAAGTGTGTAATTACTGAAATGCCAGCAGAAGTGCCTGCTGCAGCCGAACCAAGAGGTTGCACTTTTTTGCTGATCTCCCAGTTTGTTGTGTAATGCAACAACACTGCAGTTGTGTAATGCTTCAACATTTCTTCGAACTATAACGGGAACGGTTTCTGCTTGTTTCATGTGTTGTAACATGTGAGGAACTTCAGCTTAAACTGGCGCTGAGGCAAAACGCTGCAGGAAAACCTCCTGAATAGACCACGYTTTCTAAAATATTTTACCTGCAAATTAGACAGTTTGATAATACTAGTTTCAATCTGAACTTCAAATTTTATAAAGGATATTTTTTATAGGTTAGGTGAAAACTCAAACTCTGTTACCAAACTAGTAATTATTTTAGGCATAAAGAAACTAATGGTGACACACTTTGGTCAGATTAGTCATCTTTAAACTGCATGTGAACAATATAATAAACATTTTTACATCAGTCTGCAGGATGAGGCATACCTGCATAAATATTAAGACTGCTTAAAAAAAACTCAGGCTGCACAGGAAGTGCTACAGCTAGTTGCTGCTATTGTTTGTGATTGCCAATATTCTATGTAAATAACAATAAGTGGTAAAAAGTAAGAACTGGCATAATTTTTTTTTAGGTTTGTTATAAGACTGCAAGATGGTTGATTTAACGATCCACAACAGGAAGATGTGAATATATTCATAGTTTAAACTTTTTGAGTTTTTAAAATCACAAAAACAAACATTAAAATCAGATTTATTGTTTAAAGGATCAAATTTCACCTACGTAAAAATGGTATATCTTAATATTTCATCTTAATTTCTTAATAAAAACATACAGTATATCTCCTAATAAATTAATATGCATAAAGGTCAAAATTTGCATGTTTTTCTAAATGAGATATTAGTAACAGGAGTCTTGTTTTTTAGTTCTGAAACTTACTGGTCAGACACCTTAGTTCACCATTACCTCCAATACATTAACTCTTAACTATGAAAGTCTCTTTTACTCATTTCTTTCAGATTATTAACTTTCATTCAAAGAGTTCCCATCAAGAGATTGTTTTTGCTGAACAAACAGGTTTTTAGTTTTTAGCATGAAAGAATCTTTTTCTTTCCATTTGAAGTTAGAATAAAACCAAAGTGTGTTTTTGCCTAACACCAAGTTTGTGTAGGAGGGTAAGAGAACAAAAGTGTTTTGATGAAGCAGCTRACAGGAATGAAGAAATGTCAGAGAGCAACAAAAAAGGAAGAGAAAGTTTTCCTGTCCTCAGACCTTTCAGTAGAGAAGTGCTCCGTTTGTAAAACGGCTGCTAAAAATCTGTCTCCAGTTGCACTTGTGTGGTTTCAGGAGGACAAATGCTATACAAATGTGGTCAGGTTCACATRATGGGATGTTGGAATCATGGTATTAATTTGCTTTGTAACTAAAGTGTGTTGAACTCTAAGCTGAAGGCAGAAAGTGAAGCAGCTTTATGTCCAAACAAGGAAGTTTTTCATTCAAATTCAGTGAATAATGYGATGTAAATGAAAAAAACTTTCCAACTGTTTACTCAACAGTTTTATTTYGCCACGATCCAACACAGCAGCAACATTACAGTGTGTAATTACAAAGATATAATTTGGGTCAGAGATGATCTGTCTGTGGTCAGACACACAGTCTCACTGCTGAACGTCGGTCATTGGACTGAACGGATGGAAATATGTTTTTTTTTTACTCTCCASTGTGAATCTGGTCTTTTGCAACAGAGAGTTCACTTCCCCAAAGGCAGACAGAGGCATTTTTTCAGTTTGACATCCTCCATCTGTTCAGAATGYCACCAGTGACTCCGGTTCGACCCATTAAAATACCATAAGCACCATTTTGCTGGGAACTGTGGCAGGTCAAACAGAACAAGCGGACATTTGTTCAAATTTACCTCGAGATGAAAGAAACTGATTGATCATGTGGACAACAGCTCTGCAGCGGCAACATCAAACATTCCTGTCAGTGTAAAAGCTCATTTATCTTACTCAGACATTTATTTTATTTTGTTTTCKAAGTTTTCTTTTACTCAAACAGGCGAAGTTTGGTCTAACCTAAAACCAGAAGCAGTAATGCCTAATTAAAGGTTGAACATTGACATGAACACAAACACGCTGACAATAGTTCAGCTTTTTAAGAAGTAGTCTGGTTTGAGCTCAGCTTCAGTCACCGAAGGGGAAAACCCTGACCCGGCTCTTCACACAAGCATCTGAAGAATTTTAAAAGTTTATTTCTTCCTTCTGGTTTTTCGGGAGATTCTCTTGTTTCACACGAGAGGAGCCCAGAAATATCCTCAAAGCTACTTTATTACYTCCAGGAAATGATTCATCTCTTTAAAGCTGCTGCCTCAGTTTGTGAGAGGCTCTTTTGTTCACTTTTATTAATGATTAAAAGTTTCCTGATAAGCAGCTCTGTTGTATATTCTGTGTGTTACTCTGACTGTAAATCATTTGAAACAGAACAAATACTTCTGCATTTCTGTGACGGACAACAAATCAATCATTCTTTGGGATTTCCCAGCAGTTTTTAATCAGAAGCATGCGTTTAAAAAATAAACTAAAATTAAAGTGCTGTCAAGCTAAAACTTTGCTGTTTTTTTTTTTAACAAAATCTTAACAGGAAAGCAGGATGATCTGAGTAAACGGGTTTAAAGCACAAGTGTGGCACAATGAGCTGACATGAAGACGAACTGAGCCTTCCAGTTTTTCTCAGGTTCCTGTGGGAGAATCATCCCTGCTGTAACATTATCCAGATCCCAGACGGGCTGGAGATGTTCAGCTCGTGGGACGCTCGGGCCGGCCGATGTGGAATGTGTTTACAACTCCTCTCTGCAGCTCGAACGCTTTAATAAATGTGATGTTTTTGTGTCATTTTCCATTTTCTGCTTTACACTGGAGACTACTTTGAAAATATCTTTGATTTGACTCTGAGGTCGCATTTAAAGGAAATATGAGTCATTCTAATGTGGCTGCTGTTGAGGAAATATAATCTGTGCTGCAGTTTTTACAAGAATTTTTTGCCCCAAAAARGAAATTTCCTCCAGAGTTTTATTTTATGGCGAGTTATTTAAAATCAGGATATGTAGATTTAGTTTCATAGTTACTAAAAGATTGATGTTTAAAGTGATCCCTGTTTAGTTGTAACATTAGACTTTATTTGATAAACATATTTTAACTGTAAAATAAAGATTGTAATAATACTGTAGGATGTTCAGTTTTTATCATTTTTAAACTAAAAGTTGAAAAATATATTACACGAACGGGGCCATTTTA